ATTTTCAAATAGACAAAATTAACGAAATTATTAAAATTTTCTTTTCCATTTGCGAAAATGGGATAGCTATAGTATTTGCACTGAATCTATTACAATGTGCATAGAGAAAGCTGATAAAAAGTTGCCAGGCAGCAAGAAAATGATTCTGGTATGTAAACAGTGTTGGTAGTTTAATTCACGTTTTCTTTAGTGTGATCAAGTTACCTTGTCCGCAGCTAGATCTACACTTGATGCAATGCACATATTATTGCATCATAGATCTACATACCTTCGTAGAATTTAGCTCCAGAATCTGGTTCATTTGAAATTTTTAAAAAACATTAGCAACTTTTAAAATTTTTTATAAGGGAAAATAAATAAATTTAAGGTAAAAAATAAAAATTTATTTTTACTACGAACCCTGAATATATGAAAGCGAAAAAGTTTGCAGAAAACGAGCGGCGAATATGCAAAATAGTGATTTTCAAAAACGCAAATTCCACAAAAAATAAAATATATTCCTATTGCTACTTGGCTCATGTCTATAATCCTCGTTGTTAGGCATACTTGCACTGCTATACCATTTTTACGTAAAAATCAAAACCCAACAGAATTCTACATGTTAAGTGCTATGCGTTGAGTAACCGCTTACACGCAAAGTCCATTTAAAAGATTCTTATGTGTCAACTCTTAAGAATGAAATGTAAATAGCCATATAAGTTAAATAATAACAGTTTTATGCAATTATTTACCAAGGTGCGTTCATGAAAGAAGGCAGATGGACTGATAAATTTAAGCAATTTATCCCTTTATCACTTTAGAAGATCCCTATTGTTTCTTGGAGTGTAGATTTCTGATGGAATTCTTTAAAAAATTGAATTTATTTTAAATGTCTGTGTGGTGTATAGCGAATTCTGAAAGTACTCGCGATGCGCAGACAAACTGTGTGGTGTATTTGGCCTACAACATCACCCATGAAGATGATATAAAACTTACATCTTAGGGCCAATTTCTCAATGTATGATTAACACTAACTACGTTCTAAGGGCCGGTTTCCGGAATTCAGTAAGCAATCTCTAGTCACTAATAGTTATGTTGGTGGTGAACATAGACTTTTTGAGGCTATTTGGTATTTAGTAAAAGCTGTATCACGTCTCTAGTCTCAAAAAATTTCACTAATTTGTCAGCTGGCTCTGAGCTGGTCACAAAAAAAAAAATATGGAGGAAAAGATAATTGCTTTCTGTTTTATTAAAAAAAAAAAACGCGAAAATGAAGCGAATAAACATTTGTTCAACAACAACTTCATTAGGAAATAATCGAAAATGATTTATCATAAAAATTCATTAAAAAAATATTTTTTTTAACCATTAAAATTTAAAGATTCTGATGAAAAAGCTGTATTCGTAATCGGAACGCAGTCGACACCACTGTCGATATAGGAAATCCGACTCTGACTACCACAAAGAAACTCAAGCGTATGTTGAAAGTGAAATAATTTAAAAAAAAAAATATATGTACATATATTATGTTCGAAATGCAACCGTGGACCACAGCTGGCACTGAAGCTTCTAGTTGCGTTCCAGATAATTCGCGATTTGCAGGTTTTTTCAGGAAGCTGTTCCAGGTGACCACCTTCCATAAGTCTGCGTTCCAACACGGAAACTCGAGTTTCTTATTATCGGCGATTTCTCTTTTGGTGTTGCCCTTTGCATTCACACACAGAAACTCTTTTGTACGCAATTGTTGTTGTCAGCTGTGAATCAGCAACTTGAATTACTCAGACGAACGAGAGCACAAAGCGTGTTTCCCCGAGTACGGACGACTCGGTACCCGTCCCCTTTCCTCGTCGCTCTCTCCCCAACAAGCTGCGAGTTTCCGCAGCAAAAGTTTTCGTGTCTGAACATAGACTAAGGTTTATTAATGGCGAAAACATCTTTTCCTGCAAAACCTGCACATCGTGAAGCATCTGGAACGCAACTTTTAAAATTCGGCAAATTTCTGTTCACGCTAAACTTAGAGTAAGTTTCTCTCTTTGGGAGAGTAAGTTACATTATTCTCTGAGTTTGAACACAACTAATAGCTTTGTTCCCCACGCTTTCCGGGCTGCTCCGGTAATTAGAGAGTAAAAATAAGTTACTCCTCACAAGTGTCAAAAATGTGCCAACACATGCCAAAACTGCCCAGAGCGTGAGGAACGCAAAAACTACAATGATTTTACGTGTATTTAGCTTATATGACTAATTAAATTACCAAATAACTACATTTTCTGAAAATTCTGTGATATTTTCCACTTTTGTTTTCCTAAAATTTGTTTTCGGATTTAAGCAACAGCAGTTATTTCAAATTGCCCTTTTGCACATTTGTGCCCGGAAAAAAGTCGTACATAAAGAAGAAGGCATTTAAAATCCAAAAGTGGAACGTATTCGCTCTCTATTACCAATTTTTCTAGCGTGAGGAACGCTTTCTGGGCTNCTTCATTTCCCAAAAACTTGGCAAAAATACATCGATGTTTTTCTTTGATTCGATGCATCGAAATGTACATCGATATTTTTCGATGCATCGAGGGACCTACATTGACAACAAAAAAACATGCTATTAGCAAAATTGTACAAAATTTGAAATAAATTACTGCAACTGAGCGAATAATGTTTCCAACGGAACTTTTTGGAGCCATTTTAATTTTTTGGTCAAAGTCACTTCTCTTTTTTGTACAATTTAAAAACTGAAGGTTTCGTTTGGGATACAAATGTTATAAAATAAGTTTTTGTTGAATATTTTACCCTTTACTAAATTAAATCAAACAAACAAATCAACTTTCCCTATGCTCCATTGCAATATTAACTAAAAACTTTATTTTTTTTATATATTTTTTGTATTTACCTGTATTGGCTGCTTTGACTGCTGTGGAATCTTTAGTTTGACCCTTTTGGGCAATCCTGTGGGAAATGGTACATTGCTTTTATTAGGTGCGGGTTGACCCACCGCAGCTGCTTGCTGTGTAGCTGGTGAATCATTTTCCAAAGTAAGCGGTGCACGTGCAAATTGACTCTGAAACTGCATAACACATTGATATGTGCAAAAATTACGCATTGAAGCATCCGACATGGTGAGATGGTATTGCGGTGTGGCAGAAGTATTACAATTGTCGCAATTCGCAACGGTGCGGGAGAACGCATTAATAGACACACCATATAACGTTAGACAATTAAGGGAACACATAAGTATTTCTTGTGAGTCTTGTTGTTTATAGATCATATCGAAATTATATTTCTTTACTTTGCACCATTGACATGAGACTATACGACGATTCACAATTATGTACACATTAAGGCAAATTCGTGTACAAAATACTTTAGTCCGCCTTTCTGTATAAATGGTAAANAGACTATACGACGATTCACAATTATGTACACATTAAGGCAAATTCGTGTACAAAATACTTTAGTCCGCCTTTCTGTATAAATGGTAAACGAATCGGTGCCTTTGCGTTCGAAATACTTAGAGCACATAGCGCACTGATCAGCGACTATATTGCTTACGAATTTAAAAGCAGAAAAGCAAGGATTTGAGCAAAAATTATGTTCTTTGCCATCCAGCATGATTTCGACACGCACCGGTTTATCATTGTTACACACTGCACAAGTATCATTGCGAAGTTTCTTCTTTGGATTACACATGCTATCGTATCGGCGCATGCAGGCCTGTGAACAGAAATCTTTGAATTGTTCTTTATCACCGACAGGCGCGAGAAATCCTTCGCTACCCGATGAAATGTCTTTCTGGCAACACGAACAGGTCTTTAGGCCCTTTTTGAATTCATTGAGGCATGCAGCACAGCAAAATTGTCGAATGTCGAAACCGAAGCGCACACAATACTTTCCGAGCGCAGGATGTGGCACTTCACCATGGCACGTTTGACAATTCGCTCCGATTGTACGTTGGTATTTGCCAAGACAGATCTCATTACAGAAATCCATTGTTTCCCAGAGCAGATTTTTGTCACCTAACGTCACCTCATTGAAACACTCTGCACATCGGCGCAAAAAACTGGCATTTCGCTCTATACGTGCAGCCTCTGCCTCTGCGGTGGTGCGAGCTACAACACCCGTATCCCGGGTGCTTTTCGTCTTAGCTGCTGTGCTTGCACTTGTGACGGCCGTCGTTAAAGCTCCTGGTGAAGGCGCCACAGGCGTTGTCAAAGTTGCGCCAATATTTCGCACACGTATTGAATGGCGTTTTAATTTAAATTTGTCAGGTTCTTCCAAATTTAGTAGGTTATAGCATATATCGCTACAAATGTAAAGTTGCTCATCATCCTGGCGAAAGAAGTATTTACATACTTTCACTTCCTTACATTGCAAGCATGAATACATGTTTGCTTCTTTTTCTGCCTCTGTAGATTTACCCGTGTCACCTGGAACACTACCATCATTGCCCTTTTCTGCTACATCTTTATCTTTTGGTTCATTACTTAGTTCCTCAATAAGGAATTTTTTTCGGCGAATGAAATACTTGCCAGGATTAGCGGACAACAGAGCATCACAGCACGTTTGCTCGCACAAATATTCTAAATTTCCACTTTCAGGGTTCTTATATCGAAAACCACAGGTTTTTTCATTTTCACACTGTATACATTTCTGGGTAGATGAAAGTATCCAAGCGATAATAATTTTCGGTGTTGAACCAGTTTCAGTTGTACTGGTTTGCATTTCCTCCAATAACGGTTCATCAGCATCGGGTGCATCTACTGCTTCTTCTACAGTGTTTTGTTGTGTTTCTATATGTGTAAAAAAAAAGTTACATTCCGAACTTAATAAATAAAGTCCTTACAACAATGGGAAACTGTTGAGCTTAAACTCTTTTCATTAGTAAAAATTGAATCTTAGCTTAAGCTCATTTTTTGGGTACAGGGCCCCATGACTATGCGATAAAATAAACTCGGCTTAAATTTGATACTCGAAAATATATGTGGCGAAATTGTGCCACCTTGCTTTTGGTAGGAAAAACAGGTGTTGAAACCATAATGTTAAAGAACACAAGCACGAGCAAAGTTTTACTTCATATAATATATTTCAATGCATTTCACTACTTATGATACTGAGACGCTCACCTTCGCTGCTGCCACTACCAGCGTCAGCTGCTTCAGCACCAGCTCCAGCTGAGTAAGCTTGAGCTTCGGCTTCGGCTGTCGCAAAAAAATAAGAATTTTTAAATATTTATACTAATGTAAATTCATATGTATGTATGATATCCCAAAATGACTTTCAAAATTAAATAAGCTTCGAAACAATAATAAGGCCCATTTTTCTGAATAAAAGTAAGGTTTACTAAGGGATTGGGGTTATCTAATATAGAAGAAAGTCTAATACACACTTATAACCAGCGAATGCAAGGCTTTTACAGCAAAAGAAAATACATACAGTGGTGGCAGAAATAATCGTAACG